TTTTTGCCCAATTTATGTATGTGGTGAGATTTATTACTACTACTAGCAGGTTATCGCCGTGCAAGGCACGGCCGGCCCACGTTAGAACTTTTCTCTCAAGCGAAAAAAATATTTTTCAGAAAATAGTGAAAAATAATGAAAAAAAAAGAATTTATTGAAACCATAAACAAAAGATGTTACTAAATATACATCACCCCTAAATTAAAGTAATCAACAAATTGCCAAGAAAAAGAAATATTGTAATTCATACAGTTTTCATTCTTGTTGGATGAAAAAACTAAGAAGAGACTGAACAAACATTCTCAAATATTAAAGTTCAAGAATAAATTGCAAATCAAATGAGCCCTTTAAAAACATATTAAAGCCACATTAATCAGACAAGTTGTACAAAAATCTCACATCTGGTTATGCTCACTGTTCAGATATGATTTTTCAAAGTACTCTGCAGCTGAATACAGTTGAGGTCTGAGGTTCTTCAGTTCCTGTAAAAATATAAGACCAGCTAACAAGCCACATTAAATGCTCCAAAACTCGTTGATTCAACGAACCAAACCGTCAAGACCCTCAATTTTTCTCTTACAAACATAAGAAATTTTGAAAGTACTAACAAAAAAACTATAACCCAGAAAGACCCTAAACCATCAACCCCAATTATTTCGATTGTAAATTTACTAAAACCAAAAGATATATAACTCACCAAATATATAGGATCGAGATTCTGGCGAAGAGGCTTAAGATCCTGTTTAAAAAGAAGCGTGATTCTGACGATTATGAGATTTTTCCTCTCGCAAATACCTCACGCAGCCGCCAGCTCCTTCGATGCCATTAGCGAAATTCCGCAGAAATGGATCCGAACCATCAGAGCCCAGAATCGGATATGATCAAATTGAAATAGGTTTAAGATTTCTATCCCGACTCACATGTGCACGCATGGAATAAGTCATTTTGTATACGACATCACCATTAGTTTCCAAAATGATGCTTGTACGACAAAGATGAGCTGTGATAAATATATAGTATAGAAGGAGTAAAGTATTTGTTAAACTCAAATCAGCCTATCCAAAGCCATGTAGTGAAACACGAACAAGAAATCTGAAAATGTCAAATAGATCAAAGTACAAGTATCATCAATAATTTAAATAAACTATAAAAGTTAGGATTAAAATATAGAAGAGATTAAATTACCCCAGTCCTCCATTTGAGTGTCTATCCTCCGTAACAAACTAAAAGCACTAAAATGTTCCAGCAACTCCCTCAGTAGACAAAAATTAAGAAATCAACAAACAAACCAAATCAAGGGAAAACTGGAAGCTCATTATAATGCATCAAGGAACTAAAATTGCACTCAATAGATGAATCAAAAATCAGAACTGATAATCATACATATAAACCCAGATTCACCGATGTGATCATTAATGCATAGAAAATCAAATATAAAAAATTATCAAGAACAATAAATCTACAACCATTATGACCAACAATCAGCCGATTCTCTACAAATAGCAAACTTAAAAAACTGGAGATGCCTTATCATCACAGCTCACCATCATAATGTTTTTACGCAAGAAGCTTCATATGCCAAAACACAACAAACTCTAGCAGTTAATCTGCAACCCATGAATGCATACCTGACAATATATCTAACTCAAAGAAAAATCGGTCAAAAAGGGACAAGCAAAACCCCTAACTCATCAACTTAAATAATTTGGTCTAAATTGTAAAAGTATTAATATGGAACTCACCTCACAAACATGATAAAAATTCCGACGAAGAAGATTAGGACTCCAATGAAGATGATCGGATTCAGGCGATAATGAGGTTCCCTCTTTCTGTAAAAAAATAAAAAAACTCACGCGGCCGCTAGCTTTCCAAATTGGTGAGAAATTTTCTCACATCAAACCCTAGAAATCGGCTCCCTCTAGTTCATACCTCCATGTCGTCGGGCTTCAATCTGTCGTGCTTGTTCGAGAATCGAAGAAATTGTGCTTTTTGTTGATATCCAACTTCTCGGCTCACCCGATTAATGCGAAATCAGAGTCGAAATGATTGCATCGAAAATGGCTTGAGATCCAAGAGCGAGAGAACTCAAATCGGAGGAAAAAGAGGATCACGCGTGCAGAAAATGAAACAGGAATCAGCGATATTCACGCAAAAAGGGCACCTTTTACTCCGACCCAAACGGCGTCGTTTCGATGATGGGCGACGTGGCCGCATAAAATTGCAGCGACACGTGTCACATAAAGAAGGCATAACCTTCTTTTTATAGATAAGAGAATAATAAGATTACTAGTACAACACCCGTGTATTACACGGGTGCTTGCTAATTTTTTTTTTTAAATTTAAAATTAATGAGAAAAAATAGTTTGAAAATTTAAATACCTTTTATAAGAATATATATATATAGTACAACGCCCGTGTGTTACACGGGTGCTTGTTAATAATTTTTTCCTTAAAATTTAAAATTAATGAGAAAAAGTAGGTGAAAATTTAAATAACTTTATAAAATATATATATTAGTATATATTTAGTATGACACTTTTTATTTGTGTGACTTACTTGTGTTATATTATAATAATTTATTTATTTTATATATACAATATGGATGTCAAATCAAATATCATTAAAAGATGATTAATTTGATATATTATATATGTAAAACCAATAAGAAATACAAAAGTTATCAACTTTTAAAATACATTTTTAATTCAATAGCTAATTGAAGGAAACAAATCAAAAGTTAGGGATATATTAGTCATTTAGTGTCTCACTATGTAAAATTATAAAGAATTAATAGGTTATATTAGTACAAGTGGTATTAAAATAACTAAGTTAGCTAAATAATATTTATGGAATGTCTGAACCTAAATTATTAATTATTCATATATCAAAATTATTTGTCCAAACCTAATTACGAAGCATGATTCTTCGCCAAGTAGGATTAGGAAGCATGATTCATATATTATTATATATTTATTATGATACTTTTTATTTGTGCGACTTGCTTGTGTTATATTATACTAATTTTTTAACTTATACTATATAACTACATTAAATATAAATATATCAATTGAAAAATAAATTTATTTTTCTAATGAATTTTAATAAATATTATTATTTTTTATTATTATAAAGACAAATATAATTTATTTATTTTATATATATACAATATGGATGTCAAATCGAAGATCATCAAAAGATGATTAATTTGATATATAATATATGTAAAACCGATAAGAAATACAAAAGTTATCTACTTTTAAAATACATTTATAATTCAATAGCTTATTGAAGGAAGCAAATCAAAATTTAGGGATATATTAGTCACTTAGTGTTTCACTATGTAAAATTACAAATAATTAAAGGGTTATATTAGTAAAAGTGGTATTAAAATACCTAAGTTAGCTAAGTAATATTTATGGAATGCCCGAACCTAAATTATTCATTATTAATATATTAATATTATTTGTCCTAACCTAATTACGAAGCATGATTCTTCGCCAAATAGGATTCCAAAGCACCAGAAGCAGCCACGTAGGCTCAGCGCATTCTGGAATTATATATAGGGAGGATTTTTGCAATGTTTGTTGGCTGTCATGGGCTCCGGCCCAACTGAAAATGCTTCAGGGTAAAGACAGTTTTAGTTATGGGCCGAAGATATGACATTGCTCTGGAGTAAGGTAGAAGTCGTTAACATTTCAAAGGCCCACTCCAGTTGATCTGTGATTTCATAGTTCACAGCATTATTAACTTCAAATTCTCAATTTATTTTTGTATTTATTAAATTTTTATTTTAATTAAATACACTCAATTTTAGAGTTTGCCCATAGATGATTTATTTTTTTTTTTTAATTTTTTTTTTT